TAAACATTCCAAGACCAAATCAGGTTGATATTTCATATTTATATGGTATTATCTCCTCTTATTGATCATTTAATAAACATGTAGCTAATTCTGAACTCTACACAGTTTCTACCTACATCGCATTCATATGGACTCTCGGTGTAGCGGGATATTTTGAGCGGAGACGCAGAGAGCAGAATAGCGCTGATTATTCATGCGCTCCAGGAAGCTGCGTCCTGCACACGGCCACAGGAACACCCAAAACATATATAGTTAACACACGGTCGTTTATGTCCGTTCATATTCTCCCTGGTTATTTCTGTCTTTTATTCGAGCCTGACGCGCTCTGCTGCTGCAGTGCTCACAACCCGTGGTCCGGTGACTTCACGTCACTGGTGCAGCTGGGCAGCGCACACTCTGCTATTTTCATGGTCAGTAGATCCATTTGATCGGCTTAGATAAAAAGTAACTCGTGAAGTGAAATAGGAGGAAGCAGGCAGCAGTTTTTCTGGAGGACTGAGGCCTAGTCCACACGTAGCCGGGTTTTTTAAAAACAAATATCCGCCCCTCCAAAAACTTGCATCCACACCACCTCGTTTAAAAAAAAAACTCTGTCCACACGTACCCGGATAAATACGTTGTTAAGGACATGCCAGACCTGTAGGCGGCAGTACTTCCCCCGTTCTTAACCTCGTCCTTCGTCTGTGGTCTTCCGCAAGGAGCAGTAATTCTGCTTGCAAAAACAAACAAGCAGAAAGCGCTTGGACAATTGATGGATCGGGTAGTGACAGAGCGCAGCTCCGAGGGCTTCCATGATGCCGGCTAGTGTAAACACAGGTCGCACACGTGATGTCAGCATTTTTTTGTCGCGGAAAGTGACGCTGCGGACCTTAAAACTCCGGTTTTCTCCGTCCACATGCAGTTCTCCTGCCAAAACGTAGGAAAATATCTACGTTGTGGCAGATCCCCGGCTACGTGTGGACAGGGCCTTAGAGGAGATGCAGGAAGATCAGACACAGACACGGCAGGGAAAATAAAAACCAAGAAAACAAAACAAAGTTCTTGAAAATAAAAATGTAGGGAGATTTATCCCACTACATGATTTTACCTTTATAAAGCAATCATTCATCAGCATGTAGTATTTATATATTTGATACTGTTGAGAAGCAACATGTTTTCTTTAACTAAAGAGTATCCATGCAGGACTGTAATGTAATCGGTGTTAAACATGAATTTGTTTGTTACCCTCAGGAGGTGTCCTCTGTGGCAGCCATCTTGAAACAGCTAAAGAGGAAGCCCGCCTCTAATGCTGCCTTTTTATAGTAAAATGCCCGAGTGGAGAACTTTTAAATAAAAGCATCGAATGAATTATTTGTAAATTTGATGTGATCTACATGTAGACTATCTAGTTATCGAAAATAGCTGAAGGTGGTATGAATGTTAACATTTTCTTTTCTTCTGTGAAAGGCTGAGGTGATTGGCCGACCTGAATTGGAGGGGGGGTCGGAGGGTATTTAGGTGGACTGCTGGGTGTGGCAAGAGATCTCTCTCTGAAAGTGACTGAGACTGGAAGAGAGATGGATGGGGGGCCATTTTGAAGACTGCTGAATTTTCTGATTTTTTTTTGACCAGAGGAAATTAAACTGGTTTTCCTTGTTCATCAATCAAGTCAGCATGTCTCTTTTGTCCTCACTACACTTCACTGTGTGTAACAGATACAAGTCAGATCACCTTCAAATCCCAGTCCCACGCCCAGGGCCGTATCAAGGCATTTAATGTTTTTAAGTCAAGACTCAAGACCCGTCTTTTTAGGTTAGCTTTTATCTAAATATTTACTACAGTTTTATTTCTTGTTTTACATGATTATATTTTATTACTTGCGTTGCATTTTTATATGATTATATTTTAGCACAGTTTTATTATTTAATATTATTATTTTACTGTCTATATGATTTTATATATTACTTATTTTCTAACTTTTGTCATTTATATTAGCTCTTTTATTATATTTTTACTCATTTTAATCCAGTGTTTCCTCTGTGGGGGCCCTCTGCCCCGGGAGCGGTGGTCGACTGTTGCTTCCTGGGCGCTCTATAGGTGGGGGTCTATGCTCCCCCTCCACTGAGCGCCCTGACTTAGTGTGGAAGACCTGATGCTCCTGGGACAGACGGCTCCTCTGATGGCGTTTCCTTGCGTGACCATACTTGGCTCGTCTGGGCTCAGCCAAATATGATTTTTACGTGTGTGTGTGTGTGTGTGTGCGTGTGTGTGTGTGTGAAAGAGCCTGTGTGCGTCTGTGCGTGTGCGTGCATATGTCTGTTATTGTTTTTAACCTGTTATGGGACTCTGGGGTCATTTTGTAAAGCACTTTGAATTGCGCTTTGTTTGAAAAGCGCTTTATAAATAAATTTGATTGATTGATTGATTTTGGGGGCCAAGGCATAATACACCCCTGCCAGACATTTTAAGTTGAAGTGCTTTTTGTTTTAATGTTAGACTTTTTATATTTGCACTAAAGTCCAAAAGTGGAGAATTTATATTATTATATTATTTCAAATTCTTAAAATCAAATGACTCAGACTGGAGGGGGAAAAAACTTCATCGGAACATCCCTGCCCACAATACGCATTTGAAATAGTATTTCTGTGACAGCATTTTATATGAAATTTTTATTTGCAATTTGTTCTTTAATCCTCGTCATTCTCTCCAAATTCATTCCCCCTCCCCTGTGCCGGTCTGACTGCTGAAACTCCTGCATGGATAAACTTTATCTTCAACACCTCATTAAAATAAGCTACGAGGGAAAAACTCACATTTCAGCTCATCTGTAAAACGACAAACTCTCCAGAAGGCAGGAGCCATCCTGGCTAAGCTCTTGCAGAATAAATCAGCAGCACAAGCACCAATCAGACGAAAGTTTCCGTAAGGGAAGACGTGACTTCCTGACATTAGAGAAAGTTCACAAGCAGGAATGAACAGATCCCAGATCCAGAACAATATTGTAAACAATATCAGAGCATGATCCTGGAGCATTTGTCAGGGAACACCCACTCATCTCAGCTGTGGACAAAATTTTCTGAATCACAAAAAAATTATTGGGACACAGTTTCCTCCCTCGGTTTTAATGATTTGCATCAAACTCCTTAAACCCTGCATTTTAGCTGCAGTGGGCCTGCTGACCGTAGGATCATAACAAACGACAGAAATGATAAACATCGCAGTTCCCCTCTCATCCACCAGAAAGGAGCAAGTTCCCACTGACTCCCATGTTAAAAATGCCAACTTCACCACAAAAATTTACACGTTTTAGTCTCAAACTAAAACATTTTTGCTTAAAAAGATCCAGTTTACCACTATGATAGCTCTGGGGGAGGGGGGGGGGGGGGGGGTAACTCATCTGTTTGGATGTAATTACAGCTTGAAATTATTAATTTTTTTATTATATTATCATTATTATTATTATTATTATTGTTGTTGTTGTTGTAACTGAATAAATAAATTAATACATAAATAAATAATAAATGAGTAAATAATAAAATATTAAATAAGTAAACACATGAATAAATACCATTCATTAATTATTTAATAACAAGTAAATACACAAATAATAAGTAAATTAATTAATTAATTAATTATAAATAGGTAAGTAATTAAGTAAATAAATAAATAAATGTCCTGTTTACTGACAAAAATCAGATCAGCCGTCAGCGCTAGCTAGCGACCTTAGCCTTGGCCTAATGTTTAAAGTGTTACAGCCCCAAAGGCAGAGTGCAACAGAGCTTTCGAACGGGGGGGGAACACTATTTTTGTGTGAAAATATGTCCGGGACTACAAATGCGCATCACGAAGGTGACGCCATCAAACCAGACACGGAGAAAACTGAGGAAAAACGGCTGTAAGTTAAGCAGACTTCCCACAGGAGGAAAGAACCACCATAAATCTGGCCGTTTGGTAAGTAGCAGCTGCTTTAGGGGAGAGGAGATTATGTGGTGACGTCACATTTGTGACGTGCCGATTTCTAGTTTGTGGTCATGCTAATTACGAACTTTTACAAGCTGATAAATGTCAAAGTACGTGAGTGGTATGGTCAAAACACCCATCATTAGTTTTCATTTTAATTGCAGTACAACATATGTGCGATCCAGGGCGTAAGGCAAAGCGGATTAGAAAATAGCGTTTTCAGCCCCGTTGACTTGCCTTCACGTTTCGTTCTTCCGGGGACCCATGAGCTGTCCGGAGAGGGAGGAGACTTAGGCTCCCTATAGAAAGTCAATGGTCCGTGACTCTAAACATGTTGCTCAATGCAAAGGTAACAGCCTCTACTGGACAATAAAAGATACAAGTCCTCATCAAAGGGCCCATTCAGTGTTTCAAACGCGCACACACGCATGCACACACAAACACACGCATGCACACACAAACACACGCATGCACACACAAACACACGCATGCACACACAAACACACGCATGCACACGCACACACACGCATGCACACACAAACACACGCATGCACACGCACACACACGCACACGCATGCATAAATGCACACATACACACACACCACACACATGCAGGCACACACACACACACACACGCATGCACACACAAACACACGCATGCACATGCACATACACACACACACGCATGCATAAACGCACACATGCACACACACGCATGCACAAACGCACACGCAGGCACAAACGCACGCAGGCACACACACACACGCGCACACACGCACGCATGCGCACACATGCAGGCTCACACACCCACACGTACGTACGCATGCACACGCACGCACGCACACACACACACACACATGCATAAACGCGCAAATACACACACACGCAGGCATACACTCACGCACGCTCACACACACGCACACACACATATGTGCATACACACACACGCATGCATGCACATGCACACACACACACACACACACTCACACATGCACACGCATGCATAAACGCGCACATACACACACGTAGGCACACACACACGCACACAAATACACACACACCTGCTGAAGATGTTTTTCCATTTCTTTGAAGACGGGGAAAGCTTTGAAGTCCTCCAGGCTGCTGCCTGAGCTGCAGGTTGTTGCACCGATGGAAGACCTGAGAGAAGCAGAAACAAAAAATTTGACAACAAAGAAAAACACGAGCTGCACGGACTGGGTTCGCCTCTGATTACAGCTGGTGTGTGGAATCAGATCAACATATGAGGAAAACCTAAAGTTAAAAACAGAATTGAATATATCGAACATCTGCTACCTGTGTATCTTACGGGGCCCAGAAGGTTCAGCGAAATACAAAAAGCCACAACACTAATACAAAAGCTGCCTCGGACGTAAAACAAATACTACAATAAAAAGCAGAAAATGAAGCTGTGGTCAACAGGAACTTACCAAAAGAGAAGTTATGCTAATAACTGAATTATTAAACGTAAATAAAAGAGACAACAGCGATTGAGACCCGATCATAAAACCGAAAAAATATGGGTCTTTTCTACCAGTACCTACTCAGCATGGCCTGACTGGTCTCGGGGTGGTTTCAAGTCATCTTTGTTGGTTATGAGTACCAGGCTTCCACCTCTTTTTCAGTACCTACCAAGCTACCGGGCTGGGCAAAAAACAAGTCAGGGACTGTCATAGCTGCGTTTTCATGTGGCAAATTTCCTCAATCCGATTGAAATCTTGGTTGATCGGAATTTCCGAATCTCTGTTCACATGGACACGAACTGAAATGATCCGATCATGCCGTGCGTACATCACACCAAGCATTTAATCCGAATAGGTTGAGCATGTGCAGAGTTGCCTTTCCCGAAAGAAAAATTGTAAACAAACGCCATGAAACGAAAAGAAAAATGTAAAAACAGAAATAACTATTCTTCCTGCTTTCCTGATCCATTTATTCAATTTAATATTTTTATTTAGCTCATAGAAGTTACGTTTTCTTCAGTGAATAACTGCAGATATATGTTATGCTGCATTTTATTGTTGATTAAAATAAGGGAGGGTTATGTCTGCCTCTTGATCAGCTGGTCCGAGGGGTCTGAATTGACAGCTGTTGCGCTGCGCTGCGGGACGGGGGGGGGGGGGGGGGGGTAGGCTCATGTTTTATTACTGAGCTCTGTTGTGGCTTATTATTAATAACATGTGACGATCAGCTGAAACTGTTGAGAAAAATCTGTTCAAACAAAATAACAAGATGTTCAGAAAGTTTACAAGCCTGTGTTCATCATTAACGAACCGCATCTCAGGTCATCTGCGTTTACGTGCTTTTAACGAACACGGACTTTACTGTCGTCCAGAGTATTTAACCGAGGACGTGTTCCTACCCAACATCAGCCTCCAATCAGGTCTGTAAAACCCAGATTATCCTGTGTTCTTTACAAGCGCGTCTCCATCACCTGCTGCAGAAGCTGCTGCGTTCAAAGCTGACAGAAACGGGGATCCGTGCGCTGCAACCCCCACGATATACCTGCGTATTTCCAGTAAAGATTTGAACATCTTTGTCGAATGATTTGTGCAATAATCAGATTTTTATTTTACTTCCACAAAATGCAAGTTCTGAATTAAATATTACTGAAACGGGGACGGCTTGTCATCGGATTTAAAAGCCGCCGCTCGTTAATTACACCGTCATTTTTGGTCAGGCAGTCCAAATGACAGCGGAGAGGCTCGCTCGCTGTTGCACACATGCGCAGTGGGCATTATTTTACCCCAACAATCCGAATGGCTGTGTACATGCACGTCAATCGAAATGAAGAACGGAATAAACCACCTCTCTAAATCGGATTGAAATTTCAATCCGATCAGGCCAAATCGGATCAGAATATTCTGATTGACATGTTTACATGCAGAATTTTCAATCTGAATGGGCATTCAATCCGATTAAATATGCGCATGTAAACGTGGCTAATGATTGGCTAGGGCAGTGGTTCCCAACTATGCTTTATGAGGATCCCCTTTCCTGTGCCTAAAGCCCTTTTCATAGACATTCTGGAACATTTGTGGACAATTCAATCCGGTTTTTAACCGGAACTGTGTTTTCAGACACACCACTTTTGTGCCGGAACTTGTCCTTTCGGCTATGATACAATATCATCAGCAGGGAAAAGTTCCAGATGTCTGACGGCGGTGCGGGGGTGGTGGGGGGGGGGGTGAGGGGGGAGAGAGAATCGGGCTCATGTTAAGAAGAAGAAGAAGAAGAAAATATCATTTCTATAGCGCCTCTTAAGATAAAAATCACGAGGCGCTTAAGCATAATTCTGCGCACACGAAGACGCATCAGAGACCTGGATGATGCGCTCAATGGTTAAAGGAATCACTGAAGCGGTGTGAAGCGCTCCGTCGCGCGTCTAGGCGGTACCGTAGGAGGCAAGCTGCCGTGGTTCGCCGCATGCTACAGGAGCGAGCTATCTAGGTGCGCACAGCGTCCCCCGGTCCCCTCCTCCTCCCCCTCCCCCTTGTCCGGAACTCGACCTCACCAGTCTGAAGCAGCCACCCTGTCCGTAACAAGTCCGGACCTGTTACTAGGGGCTTCGTCCGGTAAAATTCCGGAACACATTATCCGGATGTTTGTATTCAGACACAAAGGTCTTACGGACAGAGTCCAGAACATTTCCGTTTTTCATGGCCTGTCTGACGGGGGCTCAAGACAAGTCAGGGCCCCCCCAACCCCAACCCATATGCAATGTAAATGGAATAATTACAAACTTTATACAGACATAGTTATGACTCTTGCATGAAGATTCAATTGTACTGTTGGGTGTGTTATCTGGATTTTATAAATGAATTAATGTATTTTTAACTATAATCTTGGTAATTTCAGAAATTCACAGAAGTGCGTGGACCCCCTGCATCCTTTTGGGAATACACGCGCATACACCAACACTAACCCACCAACACAAACACACATCCACACACACACAACATATATACCAAGTAGTGTGTCTATGGTTACATTGTGAACTATTTGGTGAGAGATAAACTTTATTGTATTTATCCTAGTGAATCTATAATTAAACGGGTAAATGGGTAATGACTGCTTAGAGACGGGACAAGCTAGCGGCTAGCAGTAGCTGCACCTGCTAACTCTAGAAATTCATTGGTTATGTACTTACAGTATAACGGAAAAGGGTCGGAAATGGGTAGAATGCCTTTTCTGGGTCAGGGATGAGGTCCTTCTTCAAGTGGAGGAGTTCAAGTATCTTGGGATCTTGTTCACGAGTGAGGGAAAGCTGGAACGTGAGATCTATAGGTGGATTGGTGCTGCATCTGCAGTGATGCAGGCGTTGTACCAATCTGTCATGGTGAAAAGAGAGCTGAGCCGAAACGCAAAGCTCTCGATTTACCGGTCGATCTACGTTCCTACCCTCACCTATGGTCACGAGCTTTAGGTAGTGACCGAAAGAACAAGATCGCGGATACAAGCGCCGAAATTAGATTTCTCTGCAGGGTGGCTGAGCTCTCCCTTTGAGATAGGGTGAGAAGCTTGGCCATCTGAGAGGGGCTTGGAGTAGACCCACTGCTCCTCTAAATTGAGAGGAGCGAGTTGATGTGGCTCAGGTATCCAGTTAGGATGTCTCCTGGTCGCCTCCCTGGTGAGGTTTTCCAAGCATGTCTAACAGGGAGATGGCATAGAGGAAGACCCAGGACACGCTGGAGGGACTATGTCTCTTGGCTGGCCAGGGAATGTCTTAGGATTCCCCGGAGGAGCTGGCCCAAGTGGCTGGGGAGACGGAAGTCTGTGCCTCCCTGCTTAAGCTGCTTCCCACGTGACCCGACCCCAGAAAAGTGGCCGAAAACTGACAGATGTATTTATTATGATATAAAGTGATATTAAAGTGATATTTTAAAATATCGAGGGGCAGCGGAAGAGTTAAAGTCTCACTAGTTGTCACACTGGTGTGGGAGATTTGTTCTTCGCATTTGACCTATACCGTGGGGGAGCTGTGAGCTGCAGACACAGCCATACTTGGGAACAATTTGGTGGTTTGAGTCACGTTGATGTTGGCCAATCAGAGGTTAGGCCTTTGTATATCATTAATATTAATGAATAAGATAAGTTTTCAACACCCCACTCTCCTCTGATTAACTTTTAGTTCCTGAAACAGAAGCACCGGATATTTTTGTCCTTAAAAAATCAACTCACAATGCACAGGACACAACAGCAGGATTCTCTGTCGGGAGCTGGGATCATTCCTACAACCATCCAATTACTGGACACCCCGCTCTGCCACCTGAGCTACTGCTGCCCGTGAAAAATAACGAGTGTCAAGTTTGGTTGTTTAATGAGACCTTCGAGTCCTGGATTAAATGCTGCACTGACAGGTGGCATGGTTAAGTGCCCCGCCCTGTAACCTGAGGGGTCCAGGTTTGAGCCCAGTCTGTCAGTCGTTACGAACTCTGGGTTTACAGCCCATCTCTGTAGACAAACCAAGCACGGACCCAGACTTCTCCAAGTGCCGCCCCATTCAGCACCATGGAGAGAGGCACACTTACCTCACAGCCTAACTGAACTGTGTTTGTAATCTTCCACCTGCAGTTCATAGAGCTCCGGACGTCAAGTGACACTCAGAGAGTAGACGCCATGTTGGCAGGCAAAAAAGGTAAACAAAATGAATGGGATCGGCTTAGAATGTACTCCGTCTGAGTTTACTGCACACTTTAAAACCGAAGAAATCATTTTATATAGTCAGAATTAAATAGACTAAACATCTCCGACCCTTACCCTGCCCCTGGGATACTTTTTAAAACACCAGAAGCTGGCGGAGCGGACCTCTTACCGGATTTGAGATACCCTGACATTTATAATTTCCTTGCTAATTATCCCTCGTCCTACTCTGGAGCATCGCTAAGAGCATATAAATGCCTGGACAAATACAAATGGACTCAATCAGGGTTTGTTGTCAGTATCCAGATCTGGATTCTTCCTGCAAAGGACAGCGCTGCTGTCACCGGGAGGGTAAGTGGAGATTTTTGTTACCATTAGCAACAGCCCGTTGCAAGGTTATGTCTGTGTGAAACGTTGTGTGTGTTCATAAACCTCAGAAAAGTTACTTCAGTATTTTCTTAAAACTTAGTTGTATAACAGAGCTGTCAACTTGCGTC